CGGTGGTCACAGGTAGCTCCGTACATGGCTGACTCAAGCACACACCCAAGAGCGGCTGTAGAGTCCACGCTCTGCCCTCCAAGCTCCCTGCCTCCTTCTGGCTGAATCCCCCAGGAGCGCGGGGGCTCTGTGGCTCTCTCTGCTCCCCCAGCGGTGGCCTGACCCTTGCTCCCACGCTCAGGGTGGACGCTGTGGGCAGGTCCCCGGTGACTGACAGACACCTGATCAGTTACATACTGGGAACACAGGCAGAGGAGAGAATGGGTGTTTCCCCTCTGCCCCTCCCCTGGACAGATACTCCCGTGACTGGCCAGCGGCACTGTTACCGGTAAATGTCCCATAAATGTGCAGACGTGCTCTTACTATATACACAGTGGGCACTGTTAAGGGCACGTGGGAATCCTAGTCAGAAAGTTCCATTTTCCCCAGTTCCCTTCTTAGTTTTTGATACACATCTATTTTTAGGTTAAGGAAGTTTTTTCCAGTCCTACTTGCTGAGAGTTTTGATCATAAATGGGTGTTAAATTTTATTAACTGCCTTTTTAGCCTCTCTCAAGATAATTATATCATCTTTCTTGTTTAATCTGTTAATACGGTATTGGACTTAGATTTTCTTATGTTAAGCTACACTGGCATTCCTATTTCTGGATTTGGCTTAATAATATGTTAGTATTTTTGTGTCTATATTCACAAGTGAGGTTGGTCTGAGATTTTTCATTCTCATACTTTGGTTCTCATACATGGTTATGCTATCAAGGTTATATTGACCTTCTGGGATATGTTGAGAATATTCACTCTTCTTCTATTTTCTGAAAACATTTGAATAAGATTGAAACAATGTTGTCATTGAAAACTTGGAGAACTGGCCTCTGTGACCATTTGGGGTCCAGTATTTTCTTGGAAGATTTTTCACTACAGCTGCAATTTATTTAGCACTTGGTTTCTTTAGGTTGTTCTACTTCATTTTGAATCAATTTGTAGGTTACATTTTTTGACTTTGGTTATTTTGTACACATTTAAAAGTTAATAAAGTTCCTTATAGGGTTCTTTTATCTTTCTAACTTGTGTTGGGTCTGTCGTTATGTTCCTTTTTGAATTTGTAAGGTTGCTTATTTGCACCTTCTCTCCTGTTCCTCTTCTTATCCTAGAGGCTTCATAAATCCTCTCTAGTTCATAGGTTCCTGAACAATTCCTTGAAATTTCTAGAAACCTACTGGCATATAATCAGTATTCGTGAATGGCCCATGTGTGCTTGAAAAAGGTACATTCTCTAATTATTGGGTTAAAAGTTGTGCGTATGTCTGCTAGGTTACCCGTGTTAATTGTGTCCTTTGGCTAGTCTGTATCTCACTCGTCTGTTGTCCGCTTGACATATCAAAAATAGAAAAAAGGTGTGTTATCACTGTCCCTGAAGTATATATACATATATACATAGTATATATATATGTATATATGAGTATATATTTCAAGTACATAACAAGTTCAGGGGTGTTGCCTCTCCTTGTTGCATTGAATATTCTGTCATTATATAGTGACCATCTCTGCTCCTAATAATGCTTTTGTTTTTGAAAGCCCTCTTGTCTGATGTTGCTGTAATTGATTCAGCTTTCTTTCAGCAGTTTGCCTAATAGATCTTTTAATAGCCTGTTGCTTTCAGCTTTTATGGGCCTTCCACTTTGGTGGATCTGTTGTAAATAGTATATGAATGGATTTTGTTTTTAATCCAGTGTGGAAATAATATGCTTTTAGCAGGAAAATGTACTGCTTTAGTCATTAGGCCCAAGTTAGGGAGTTTTTCCTCCAGAGAGGGTTCCTTTTGCTTCTCCTAGTGGCATCTAGGTTTCCTTTAGTCCCTTCGAGAGCTGTGGCTGATTGGGGCGTAGCAGGCTCAGTGTCCTCACCCTGCTGCTGGCCCGGGGTTCAGTGTCCCCACTGAAGTACTGGCATCTCTTCTCAGGCCTGCCTTCCCTTCACTCTCCTGCCACAGGAACACATTTGGGGTGGCGGCTCGGGGTTCTTTGAGGTAGCCCCAACCTCTTGTGAGATCAGGGGTCCTTCAAGGAATGTCTCTTGGTGGCTCTGTAAAGGCAGAGTCCTCTAGAGCCCCCAGCCATCTGGGACCAGAGGTGGACAGCTCTTGTTCCCCACGTCTCCCTTCTGCAGGGCTTGTCAGTACAGAGGGGCTCTACATGTGTCTGTTTACTGCCTTCTCTTCCCACCAGAAAGCATGCTCCACGGGGCGAGGGGTTTCCTGGTCTTGTTCACTGCTGCGTCTCTAGCGTCCAGACCACTGCTGACAGTTGTATTTGCTGAGTGACTGGCTCTGGAGGGTGGAGGGGTCAGTGTCAGAAAGCAACGCCAGGTCTTGAGCTTCTGCCCCGAAACACTCTTCGGTATCCCCCGTGACCTGCCACAAGCTGGGGTGCCCTTGCTTTCCCCTGGATTGTGGTAGCCTAATTCCAGGTAGAGTGTCTCTCTCTGCTTTGTGGTCCAGCCACACTTCCCTGCTCACCCTTCACATAGCTTCTGGTTCCTTTTCCTTCTGTAGTTCGCGATTATCTGTCTGTCCTGTCTTGGATTAGCTTGTAGAGTAAGTTCCAGGTTTATTAATTAATTAATTTGTTTGTTTGTTCATTTATTTTTTATTTTGGTATCATTAATCTACAATTACATGAAGAACATTATGTTTACTAGGCTCCCCCCTTCACCAAGTCCTCCTCCACACCCCGTTACAGTCACTGTCCATTAGTGTAGTAAGATCCTGTAAAATCACTACTTGTCTTCTCTGTGTTGCACAGCCAGGTTTTTTTAATGGCAATTTATTACCAGCATAGTTTCTGGTCTTATTTCCGCACTGAGCACCCGATGCTCTAGTCATATCAAAATACTTGTAAGCTCTCCACATATGCCATGTCTGTGTTTTTCTGGCCGTGTTCTCACTTACGGGGTTCTCTGAACCTGAGAAACCATTCTTTTCTTTATGTTTATCAAGATCTTAGTTGTCCTTAAATCCATACACAGTCATCTCCTTCCTAAAGACGCCCTGAGCAGATCATTCATCCCCGGCTTGTGTTTGCTGTTCCGGACTTCTTGCACCATCTGCTTTGTCTAAAGAGCTGTCTGTCCTTCCTGAACTAGTTTTTAAGCTCCTTGAAGTCAAGGGCTTCGTGTTTTATTTCTCTTCCTTTCCTGAAAGCCTGTAGTACAATGCTTGATATGTAATGGCTCTTTGACAAATAGCTGTCAGACTTGAATTGTGAATTTCTGTGTGATGCTATTTTCTCTTCTGCAGTGGTAGGTTAATCTTGCTCATGTCTTCAGTTATCACACTCCAGTGACAATGTCTTCCTATTTCAAATCCCAGGTCTCCCTGCCCCCACGCCCCTGGTCAGTGTGACTCAGGCACCTCACGTTGCTCAAGCGTAGCATGTCACCGCCTTCTCTGTTGCTCCCTCTCCAGCCCAGTGCCCCTCACAACTCTTCCATAATAAAGACACCATCCTTCCAATCCCATCAACTCAAAAGCTTGGTGAAATCTTTATCACCCTTTGTCTTCATCTTTTGATGCCAACCCATCCTGAAGTCCTGCCGGTGTCTCCCTTAAAGCGCCCAGCTCCATGCCTGCCTCTCCACCTCCGCTGAGACCACCCTGGACAAAGCCCTATCACTAGTACCGGTTTTGATGCCCTGGTGCCTCTCCGTCTGCTGTCATCTCACCACATGCGATAACACGGGTCAGACCACCTCACCTGGCATCTGGCGCCACCCAGCGTCTCGGTGTGCTCTGCTGCCCCGCGCGAGCCCTCTGGTTCCTGTCCAGGCGGACCTCCTGCCGTCTCCTGGGCTGCCCTTGCCCTGCCCCTCGCCCACGGTGCTGCTTCCTGTTCATTGCTCAGGGCCTGGATCATGGGCACCACCCTTACCCCACCCGCAAGGAGTGTTCCCCTTAACAGTGGAAACTGATCACTTCCTCCTCTGAAATTTTTTTTTTTTAGTGCTTATTGTTTTCATTGAAACTTGAAAAAAGTCAGCAGATTGGAAGGAATCTTAAAAGTAATGTACTTTAACCTCCAACCCAAGACCTCAGTCCTCTCTCTGACTCGTATGTCGCGCTGGCTTCTAGTGCACAAAGCTTCGTGCTCTTCCTTCCCCTTGAATGGTGGGCATCTGAGGGCCAGGCGCTCGGCTCCCTGTGCTCGTTTCCCTCTTCTCAGCACGGTCAGCATGGGTCTCTGTCCCTAGAAGACACTGAAAATAGATTCGTTTATTGAGTGAATGGACCATACATTTCCTCTCCAAAGAGTTTGCAGAGGAGACTGACTTGCCCAAAAGCCTCTCTACCATTTCCGTGTCTACAAACGAGCAAGACTCAAAGGACGACAGATTCGTCTGCGGCCTGCGTTTCCCTTCACGCAGCTCTGCTCCAGCCTCCTTCTTACTTTCTTACATCTTGAAGTTATATTTGGAACTTCTCACTTTCACATGAACTATAAGCAGAAAATGTGTATGAATTTTAATGGAGTCTGTTAAGTGTTGATCATGTTTGCCTACAGTATTTTAGAAGTATTTAGCAAGGAGATCCTACTTGATTTGTTTGAATGAAGATAATTATGTTGTGGTTTGAAATTTATATAAAATTTTTCAGCCACAAAAACTCTTTGTTATGGGCAGAAAGTGGACAGTTTATAATTTGCAGGTTTTAAAATTACTATTTTTAAATTGTTAGTTCTGAGGGGGGGAATAGAAATGATAGCTTTAATTCCTTTGTAATTATTTGTATGATATAATTTTGAAAATAATTGGTTTCCAAAGCAAGGATGTTTATGTAAAGTAACTTCTGGTATGTCTACGTTTTAACTACATAGAAAGAACTCAATATTCAATTATGGTTTTGATGAAAATATAGAAGTGATATTTTCATATTGCAAGAACTTTTTTCCATTTTAGAGCATGTCAAAAGAATAAGCATAGTAATTCGAATGCTCTATTTCTATTTCTAGAAACCAGCAAATATCCTAGTAATGGGAGAAGGTCCTGAGAGGGGGAGAGTCAAAATAGGTAGGTAACTGATTTCTGAAATAACTTACTAAGAAATTGAAGTGACTGCAAAGATGGTTTCCCTTTTTATGTTCTTATTTAAGTAGGTAATTTAAAAATGGCTTCCTCAGTGTTTTTAGAAAAGATATTGGGAAATGTAGACAGTTTATAAAACCCCTCAGATTTATTTCCAAAGTAGGGTTATTTAATTCTGAGCTGAGGCAAGTGAGCCCCCAAGAAGTTCATTCCCATCCAGTGATATCCGAGCACACGTTCATGCCATTATCACAGTCACCCTAAGCGTAATTAACCCCAGATCTTAACTTCTGTCTCAGCTTTACCAAGTGTCCTTCCCTTGAGTACTCCCCTCCCATCCTGACCTAATACACGTGCGTCTCCACAGACACCTGGGCTGCTCCCCGTGTCATGTCCCAGGTACCAGCATCTTTTACAAATGAATACATGTGTTTATAGACTCGCTCACTTGATGGCCTTACCTTCAGGCACTGGCAGGTCCCATCTGTATATTAGCCCTGAAGCTCCAAAAGGAAAGGAACGGTAACTTATGCCTGTGATGTGTTTGGGGAGGTGATGAGCTAAGAAACACTTTATTCTCATTCCTTGTAATAGAACTTCCATTTGTTGAATGTCCAGTGCTTTTAAGAAGGATTAAAAGTTTTGTCATCACCCTGCTTTCTTCGCTATCAGAATACACCACGCCAGGAGTAATGCAAACCTGTGCTGATTTGACCCGCTGCAGATTCCTTCTGCCCTGCAGCTCGGCCCGCCCTGCCGCTTGGTTTTGTACTTCAGTTAATTAGTAGTCCAGGTCCTGAAGAGGCTGTTCTAACCAACTTCTCTTTCTTTAAACCTCTGCTTAGTTGACTGAGATTCAGAGTCATACAAAATATTGTCCATGTTAAGTAAGAACCAGGCAGATGTTTCCCCTTCCTTCCCCCCTTTCCCACTCTCCTCACCTGTTCTGTTTCACCTTCACGCTCTTTCATGTAGGCCTTTCCGAGCACCGCTGTAGGCTGGACCTCGGCGAGAGGCAAGGGAAGCCCGGGAGGCAGTAAAACAGCCTTCTGCTCCGCCATGTGCTGGGCACTTCGCCCCCACCCCAGGGGTGTCACAGGCTGGGAAAGCTGGGCTGCGGGAGGTCGTATTACCCAGCCTTTCAAAGGAAGTCTTGAATTCCTGTCCCGCGTCTGTCTTCCTACAAACATCACTGCCTCTGATGTCAGGGCTTCCTGGAGTGACCTCACTGACCACTTGGGTCAGCACAGCTCTGCCTTGGAAGCAGTGTCAGGTAGAAGGAGCGCGGCTTCCTCTTGAGTCCTGCCTGGTGCCCGTCCTGGCTCCTCAGGATACTCCTGCCGTGTGTAAGCTCCTCATACCGCCACGACCCCATTCTCCCCTCGCCGTCTCCGCTAACCCCTTAAGCATTCTGATCCTCTTCCCAACTTTAAGATACATCTTCTCACATCCATTTTGTTACTTTACACCTTTTGTTCATTTCGCCCCTTATTCCTCTGCTTCTAGAACACTCGATGCTGACCCAGTGGTTCCGTTCACCCATGTGTTCTCATCTGCCCCGGATTCTGTGCCTCTGCTGACGCTGCCCCCTCACGGAGCCGAGCGGCCTGTGTTCAGTGGCCGCTGTCCTGTATCGCCTTGGTCATTCGTCCTCTGACCAGTCTGGGCGTGGGACTGGCTTTTCCCTTGGTCTCTGTGACATCACATAGTCCTGTTTTCCTGTCTTGCATTGGGTTGTCCCTTCTGTGTTCTGTTCACCATTGCCTCTTACTCCTCATGAACCTTTTGTTTCACGCCAGGCTCGGCATTGGCGGGGGACATGGCTTCCCTGTACAAGTTGCTTCTTTAGGGAAAATGATAAGTTGTGACCTCAAAATCTTGGATTCTATAAAAATGATTCTAAGACCTGGATCTCAGATTCTGCCCTCTCACCCTAGCTGAAATCTTTATTTGGATGTCCTGCTGGCAACCTGTAGTCCATTGTTCCAAACCAGATTCAGCTTCCCTTCTCACACTCTCCCTTTTTGTACCAGTTGTCATGTTTATCCTGGTCACTCAAACCCAGTGTCTCCCCCTTTCTACTCCCAAATACCTCTGCTACTCTTCAGCATAAATTCTGTAGTCTAGGTGGGCCAGTTAGTTGCCTTACTGTTAAGAGTTCTAGGATTGTAGTTCTGTGAAGATCAGAGATTAAAAGCAAGCAGTAAGTAATAAAGGTCTAGTAAACAATCTATTTGATTAAATTGCTTTTAAACTTTGTTTTAATAGCACTTGTTTCTTAAAAAATTAGTAATGTTCTTGTGCCTATGCTTGACACTTTAATACAGTTCTTTTTGACTGAAAAGTATATTTCAATAGAAAATATACTGGGCTTTTCCCTCTATCTGAGCCTTCCCCACCCCAGCAACCTAACAGCTCAGGGCCTTACGCAGAAGGCTCATGGCCTGCTCAGTATTCACAGGGATCTGTCCTTCCGAATCTTGCCGAGTCACACTTTCAACCTGATGCACTTCCGCAGTGGTTATCAGTGCTGTTTGAGGTAGAGCCCTGAACACAGGCCCTTCCCAAGGGACTGAGTCTAGTACGAAGCCATAGCGACTTCCCTTAATGTTACAGCGCTACCCCTTTATGTTTATCTGCACCACATATTCTGCCACCTCACCTTCAGTAGACACTGGCTTTTCCTGCTTTCTGTCATTCGATACTCTCATTAATTAGCACCCATGCCAGAATTTTATTACTGCAGTCCCTGAATTGAACAGTTTCATTCCTGTTTAATTTTAGGAAAATAACTATTATGATGTTTAGGCTAGTTACCTTTGTCTAAATTAGTAGTTACTTGAAAGCTTATTTGAAACTCCTTTAAAATACATACAATAGGCAGGAATTGTTTTTAAGAACATTTATTACTTTATTTGGCCTTGATCTCATCTGACAGTGAATAGATGTGACATATAAAACCAAGAAGGTAGAGAATCAAGGGAGAAATCCTGGCCTTGGCCTTTACTTACAAACAGCATTCCGTCATACTTGGCGTTAACAATCAGCACCTATAAACTTGTAAAACAGTGCTTTGAAGTCGCTGTAATATTGGTAGTATGATTTTGAGTATTTTTTTAACTATATGGAAATTTAGTTAAGAAAGAGTACTTAAGAAATCAGCACAGGCTTCCTCGGACAGCTTTATATTTTAAGACCCTGGTTCTCCAAAGCATTCTCAGAAAGTCTTGTAGAACCTTCAACTCTAAAACAAAATCACTGTAAGTTAAAATGTAATGTATGTTATATCATCACATGTTAGTTTCAGATTAAATGATTCTATAGTTGTAACTTGGATGTACAATTTCTGCATTGTGTAGTTCATGGGGGCCCCTTATACAATCAGATATACTGTGTCTATGATATTTCAAATCAGAGGTTTAATATTCTCATGATTTTGCCTGTGTGCAAAATATGTATAACCTATTGGGTGTCAGATCAATGGCTAAGAAAATAGCTTCTGAACTATAACGCGGTTTGGTTGAGTACTGGTGTTTTTACTTACAATCTCTGTGACTTTGGGCAAGTTACGAACTGCTTTTGGGCACTAGGGAACAAAATACTTACAAACCAGCATTCCTGTGACGATTACATGAAGTGACATGTATATGTAAAACCATTTGTAAACTCTACAGTGCTTTATAGATAGATGGTATTTGTTATTCATGGAATCTTAAGAAAATTAGTCTCTAGGACCTTATTATAGTAATAAATATTCTTCTTATTACTTTTGCACACCTCTAATATTTAAATCACTTAGCTTTGGTATAGACCTTTGTTAAATGCCGGGTTTTAACAAATTATCTCTTACGTATTCTGTACATGCTCTTGGAAATGTTTGTGATATGCTGGTAACTATGTAACAGCTGGCTCTCTGACTGGGGGGAATCCCCAATCTGTAGCATTTGCCCTTTTCCGTAATATAAATATCCCATCATAGCCAGTTTCAAACCACCAACATGATGTCACTGAATGTAGAGTTGGGAAGAGATGTGTGTTATTCAGTTGGCACGAGTCCCTAACAACTGACTGCAGCACACACCAAACTGAGATGTAGTCAGTTTATAGATGTGAGGCATACGGAAGTCATGATTGACCATGGAAACTTTTAGAGTATTTTCAGTTAAAAAAATTTAAAAACATTTAAGAATATCATTGTAATTGTTCTAAAAGCCAGGAATCTGAAGTCAGACCAAGGCTTAAATTCTGACTCTGTACTTACTACCTGTATGACCTTGGGCAAGTCAGAATATCTTTGAGCCTCAGTTTTTTCATCAGTAAATTAGGCATAATGATAGTGTCTACCTCAGAAAGGTAGAGCAGAACACTGGTTGAAATGGAGGAAAAGGATTGCTCAAAAGGTTAGTGGCTGTTGTTATCGGCCTTGCGTGGTTCTCACAGCATGCCAAACTGAATTTTGCATTAATGTATTTTGTTTTTTAGCGGACATGGGTTTTGCCAGATTATTCAATTCTCCCCTGAAGCCTCTGGCGGACCTGGATCCAGTAGTTGTGACTTTTTGGTATCGGGCTCCGGAGCTTTTGCTTGGTGCGAGGCATTATACAAAGGCCATCGGTAAGTCAGCCTGAATGATTTGCATTTCGGCATCGAATTAATCACTTGCACCAAATGGTATAGTAATAAAGCCACTCTGTACAAACTGCTTTGTGTCTCTTTGTGAAAGTCCTGTTGTCTTTTGTATTTCTACATTTTGTATTCTGGGAGATTTGGATTTTTGACTGTATAGGGGTATATGGTTCTTTAAAAGAAGAAACATTTTCCTTTAGAGAATGGAGTATCTGGTCCCGTTGAGTTGCTATGGAAATGATAACATGCAGATTTTATTTTGCACTTACCTACTATCAGTCAGAAGAACTGGAGACTTAGAATTGTTTTCTTCCCAAAAGGGAAAACATACACGGGAGCAGCGTGGTGCTGGCGAGAGGCCCTTCCCTCCGGAGAAGGTCAGACAGTCCTTCCTTGAGCAAGAAGGCTGACTGGTCTTTCTCTCTGGCTATTGCAGTTGTCAGGATACCCGTCTCTCCACTGAGGTCGGGAATAGTCTGGGTAGATTAGCTGTGCTCAGCATTTTGCCATTGTACAAAGTAAAAAAACTGAGGAAGAAAACCTATTCTAAACACTCTGTAGGACTTAAAGACTGTGTCAGAACAGAAGCATCACAGATTCTGCTGTCTGGTCACTATATTGCCCTCAGAGGTTCTCGGCTGTGGACTGAGGTCAGGAAGCACAAGTTCTCCTCAGACCTAGAGATTTCTTTGGAGGAGGTATAAAGAGAAGATAGGGAGGGAGTGAATTGTGCTTTTAGCGTGAGGCTAGTTCTGGAAGGAACCTGAATGTGCTAAGTGTCTGTCTTAAAATTTTCCTTCTCTTGAACTTTCTGTTTACTGATACTAGATTAATATCAGTTTTGACTACCTTTAGCTGCTTTGTTCTGTTTAATAAAGGCACTGAAAGTATGTAATCATTAAAAATAGACAAGTAAGCACAACCCTTTCTCTCTTAAGTTTATGGAAAACCTAGTGGCATTCAAAGAGCTACAGAGGAAGTTCTGACGTTAGCCCCTTCATGGGTAAAAAGGGAAACCAAATTAAAATACACTACTGTCTTCATTCATCAGGTCTGATTTTTGCAAAGCTCAGGCACCCAGAACACATTTATACTTTGTCCAGGGATGGGATGTTCAGCACAGTGATGGAATATTGTAATACTTCATAAATGTTAGTGAGGGAGGATTGGCCAAAAATGGCCTCGTGAGAGACGAGACAGAGGCCTCCTCCCAAAACACATATAACATGAAAATACAGCAAATATGACTAATCGTGAAAGAGTGACAGGAGAGAAGGCTGTGGCAGACTGCCTACAGCCGGGGAACAGAGCAGGTCTCATGGAAAAGGGTGACGTACCAAAGCCGTGATCCGGTGGGACCCAGGCCCGTCCCCACCCCCCCCTCCAGCTCACAGGAGGAAGGAAGAGAAATGGAGTGGGGAGGGGGCGGAGGCCTGGGACTGCTGGACACCCAGCGCTGGAGACCTGCTCTGGGGGCACGAACCTACATTGCATGGTGCTCTGGAGATGAGTGGGGTTGGAAAGCTAAGACAGGCGGAATACCTGGGGAGACGGAGATTCCAGCTGATGGTGGAGAGCAGATACCCACAAAGCGCCGCTCTGGGACAATAGGAAGGCAGGTGCTCTGAGAGACTTCCTGACAGTGAGAGGGCTGCTAAAGGGGCAAGGATTGCACAAGGCCTGCTGCTCAGGAGGAAGGACAGGGGGACCACATTGTCCCGGTGTACTCCGCCCAGCAGCTGGGGAAACTGTCAGGAGCTTCAGGCGCTCCATCCCCCTGGCTGGCAATGCAGCTGTGAGGCCCCCCACCACGACACACCTGGCTCTTAGGAAGGTTTCACATGAGCAGCTTTGTGGTCACTACAGTCACCCATGTTATCACGTCCCCCCACACCCCATCACAGTCCCTGTCCATCAGCGCAGTGAGATGCCGCAGAGCCTGACTGCTGACGTCCCAACGAGTGACTTTTACTGAAGGGCTCGTGAACCAGCTTTTTGAGACTTTCAGAATTAATGTTTGCATTTCTGCCTCTGGGTCTGCCTTTCCAAAGAACAGTAAAATCTCTTCAGCAACCTCAGCAGGCCTCGAGGACAGTGAGTTGAGAAGAGGGGATGGTGGTGGGATGGAGCAGGTGGTGCTTAGAATGGGACTGGTGGTGAGAGAGGCAGGGCATGGATGGAGCAGGTGGTGCTTAGAATGGGACTGGTGGTGAGAGAGGCAGGACACGGGCGGGGTCGTGGGGTGACCAGCAGGCTGCATGGGGTGCTCCTCCCCGAGAAGGGGGGTCTCTATTCAGAAGAGGCAGTTGAATTGAATGCGTCCCTGTCAGAGTCCATCCCACTCAGATTCGAGCACAGCAAACCTGTGGTAGCAGGCCCATTTTTAACAAGCCATTTGGCGGTTCCATTGTGTGGGCCACTACATTCTGACAGCCCACACTTCAAGAGCACTGTTAGGAATATTTTCTGATGAACTGTTCTGCTGAAATAAGAATGTGTGTGTTTTGGGGAAATAAAGGTACTTAGATATGAACTGGAGACCAACTGTGTTGCTTATTCCCAGAGCGAGGAGAACTGAACTGTAATTTTAACTAGCTTGTAACTTACTTGTTCTGAATTTACCGCTTTAAGATTAAAACATAAGCACTAATTTTTAATTTTAGTCAAGTCCCAATTATCCATTCTGGACAGAATTTAGGAAAAAAGTTAAGGCACAGAGAAAGAGTAAACCTGAAATCTTTCTTTGGGCTTGAAATGTATTCATAGCAGACGTGTAAATACCCGCACGTTCATCTGTTGTCTCTCTGCTCTACACCTGGTTTGGGTCGGAAATGAGTGTTATTTCTATTCAGAGCATAGGAAAGAGTCTGGTGATTTGGTATCAGCATGGGTTTATGGAGCGATGGTTAGTGGCGGAGGGGAATGTGTGTGTGTGCACACGTGTGTGAGAGAGAAGTCATTGATGGAGGGAGGAGAGCTGAGAAGCAGGTGTCGGTGGTGCAGGCGCCCGATGACCGTTTATTACAGGCCAACGTGAGGCAAGAAACCCTAGAATTTAACACTGCTCCATTCTGAGCTTCCACCCGGTTCTCAGGGAGTCTGCAGTCTTGCTCCTCTCCTTTGAAGAGGGCAGACCAAGAATTGGCATGTCCGGCAATGCACAGTCCCTGTCCTTGTTGTTGGCGGCCTGGTGGAGGCCACCAGCAGGGAGCGGGTAGGATGGTCCTGAGCAGCCATACCAGGCAGGAGGGAAAACCAGCACGGCGTGGGGGAGGGAAGGGCAGCAAGAAGTGGATGCTGAACACATCGCTCTGCTCCGTAGGTGATGTCCGCGGCGACGTGACCCTCCTGTATCATTAAGAAAGATAACGTTTTATAGGCCTTTACAGTGGCAGGTGATGGTGTGATAACAAGCCGCTACCGCAGGACCATGTTCCCACGGTGCGGAAAGAACCCAGGCCTGAGTGGAGTCGCCTGTGGGAGACGTGACTGCAGGTTTCTTCCTCTGGCCGTTGGTCGGGCCCCGGCGCGCGAGCCCTGACCCAGCCAGTGGGAACACGTGGCCTTGGTTCTTAGCTTTTCTGCAGTGTGTTTCCCGTGTTCAGTAAGCTCCTGAACTACGCCTTTTCCTGTACTGCACCGTAGTCTGTGCATTATCTTTTAAAAAAAAATACTTATTAAACAGCATTTATTTAAGTGAGCAAGTGTGAATGTGCATTTCACAAACAATTCGTTTCCAAATGGCACAATATCGTAAATATAATAATACAGTCTTAGAATCTAAATTACCATTTATGTGTAAAAATCCAAATAGAAAAATCCATGCCTGGTGATTTGAAATAGTTAACAAAACTTTAAAAGCCGCCTTCCTTTGTCCTGGAGGATCAGGCTGCACCTTGGTGAGCATGTCCAGGCCTCTCTCGGCGTCACACGGCCTGTGTGTGCCTGTGCCCAGTGGCTTCCAGACCTCACAGCTCGGGGAAGAAAACCGAAGTCGGTAGTCTTGCAGACAACAGATACGCTTCTCCAAATCAGCTCATGGGTCTGTGCTGTCTGCCTAGAACCTCAGCTCGGATTCTACTCCATCATCGTGCATTTAATTGCCGTAAGGAAGGTTTCACCATGCCTGATGGTGTTTTAGGCTCTCTGATCTTGAGTATTATACCCTGTATTGTTTTCAGTTGAATACGTCAGTGATTAAATTATTAATGTGGTTAATTATTAAGGGTTAGAAAGGCTTTTGCCTAAGTCTAAAATAAATTCATTGCTTGCTAAATTCAGTTTCCCAAGCTTATCTTCATCAGGATGGGAAAACCAGCACGGCGTGGGGGAGGGAAGGGCAGCAAGAAGTGGATGCTGAACACATCGCTCTGCTCCGTAGGTGATGTCCGCGGCGACGTGACCCTCCTGTATCATTAAGAAAGATAACGTTTTATAGGCCTTTACAGTGGCAGGTGATGGTGTGATAACAAGCCGCTACCGCAGGACCATGTTCCCACGGTGCGGAAAGAACCCAGGCCTGAGTGGAGTCGCCTGTGGGAGACGTGACTGCAGGTTTCTTCCTCTGGCCGTTGGTCGGGCCCCGGCGCGCGAGCCCTGACCCAGCCAGTGGGAACACGTGGCCTTGGTTCTTAGCTTTTCTGCAGTGTGTTTCCCGTGTTCAGTAAGCTCCTGAACTACGCCTTTTCCTGTACTGCACCGTAGTCTGTGCATTATCTTTTAAAAAAAAATACTTATTAAACAGCATTTATTTAAGTGAGCAAGTGTGAATGTGCATTTCACAAACAATTCGTTTCCAAATGGCACAATATCGTAAATATAATAATACAGTCTTAGAATCTAAATTACCATTTATGTGTAAAAATCCAAATAGAAAAATCCATGCCTGGTGATTTGAAATAGTTAACAAAACTTTAAAAGCCGCCTTCCTTTGTCCTGGAGGATCAGGCTGCACCTTGGTGAGCATGTCCAGGCCTCTCTCGGCGTCACACGGCCTGTGTGTGCCTGTGCCCAGTGGCTTCCAGACCTCACAGCTCGGGGAAGAAAACCGAAGTCGGTAGTCTTGCAGACAACAGATACGCTTCTCCAAATCAGCTCATGGGTCTGTGCTGTCTGCCTAGAACCTCAGCTCGGATTCTACTCCATCATCGTGCATTTAATTGCCGTAAGGAAGGTTTCACCATGCCTGATGGTGTTTTAGGCTCTCTGATCTTGAGTATTATACCCTGTATTGTTTTCAGTTGAATACGTCAGTGATTAAATTATTAATGTGGTTAATTATTAAGGGTTAGAAAGGCTTTTGCCTAAGTCTAAAATAAATTCATTGCTTGCTAAATTCAGTTTCCCAAGCTTATCTTCATCAGGAAATTTTGCAAGTAAAAGTTTCTTAATTTGGCTTTCGATCTCTAATGTGGTGCTGTAATTATTTCATGTCTCAACATTTATTTATTTTTCTTAAAATACTTAACTGTGCTTTGTATATTGCTTCACTGAAAAGCATTTTTATATGTAGGTTGTGATTATACCCAGGAATTATGACTGAAGAAATATAATAAATGTGTACAAAACTTGTTTTTCTTCCTTCATAGATATATGGGCAATAGGTTGTATATTTGCTGAATTGTTGACTTCAGAGCCTATTTTTCACTGTCGTCAGGAAGATATAAAAACAAGCAACCCCTTTCATCACGATCAGTTAGATCGGATATTTAGTGTCATGGGATTTCCTGCAGGTAATTTATTTTTCTTTTCAAAATAATATTCAAGTCATACTTCACAATCATTCCTTTTCAAAAGCATATTTTAAGTATTTTTATGTATGTTTTTATGCTAAAATAGCTAGTAGGAGATTTTTGATGTAAGTAACCCATTATTTCCTATAACAATATTTAATATCTTTTTGTAAGATAAAGACTGGGAAGATATTAGAAAGATGCCCGAGTACCCTACGCTTCAGAAGGACTTCAGGAGAACAACGTAAGTGACCCCCTGTTAGATACGAGTAGTGAACTCGAGTGGGAGTATTTAGATTAACCCTCCAGAAACCAGATACAGATTATTATTTAAGCCAGAAACTTAGATTTTAGCATATTAATTATGCTTATAATGTAAAGAAGCAATTCCAGATGTTCTTAACCTGTGTGCCAGGCCTAGGCTGTAGTATTTAATTAACAACTTTTAAGAAATGGAAGACCGATAGATGGTCAAGTGTCTCCTCCGTTTTAGTGTGATAGAGGGCTCAGTTCAAGGACACAGCTGAGATTTTATCTTCAGCTGTGTAATGATGGTGACTGAAATGACAGTGAGCGGAATGTCCTCATCTGTGTTTCTGGACCGGCCGTGAGGATGGCCCCTCCACCTCTATTTCCTCTCTTAGGAAACGGCTCCTTCATTCACCTGTTTGCTGGAGTCAGAGACCTGAGAGGCGTCCCTGATCCTTTTCTTAATCTGTCTTCCGTTTCAAACACCTCCCCCATTAGCACATCTAGTCAGTTCTCTGCTCTGAATACCCTTTGAGTCTGTATCTCTGTTCATCCGCCTTGCCACTGGTACAGCCCAGACCACCCCTGTCTCACCTGGAATCCTCCAGGGCCTCAGTGGTATTTCTACGTCCATTCCGACTCACTGTCTACTCTGCAGTTATTGATTGCCAAAAGCAGATTTGCTCATGTTTATCCCCTAGTTGCTTGTAATTCACTATTGCCCTCGATTCCTCAGTACAGCTTACAAAGCCTCGGCTTCTCCATCACCAAATTCATCTCCTAAACTGCTGTCCGCTTTATTTCTGTAGCCTAGACATCATGAAGTTCCTGAGGAACCTCAGAAACCCTGAGCTGCTCCGGCCTCTAGATCTTTGCTGTGTGCTGTTCCCGCAGTCTGGATTCATTTTCCTCCCGTCCAGTTCATTGGGTTAACTCCTAGTTAGACTTTCTACTGATCTGTGAGGTGTTGGCTCAGGCAGCACGTGCTGGCGAGGCCTGGCCTGCCCTGCACTGGGCTGGGCACCCCCTACCTGCACTTCCACCGCATCCTCTGTGGCCTCTTGCAGCTCGGCCTTATGCACTAGTCAGTTGTTGACTTCTACCTGCCTTGACCTCTAGACATTGTGGCTCACCTCTGTCTGATATGACATTGTGTGTATGTGAATCCCCAGGGCCTGGCACAGAGTACGGGACTCATTAGTTGCTTGTCAACGGATATTAAATGAAACATGTTCAAGTACTTAAAGATACCCTACTAATAAAAAAGGTGGAGAAAATTGATGAAGGCATTTACCATGTAGCTTGGTATTTAAAGATGAAAGGAAGATTTTATGTAAAGTGTTAATTTTTTCAATAACTGGAAGTAAAAGGAGAGAAACTTTGCAAGGTAAATGAAATTCAGTTAGAAAAGTAACAGGAAAGTTCAGAGGGACCTGTACCGCCTCAGCATGATCTGCCCCCATAAAAGCAGGCCACTAATACATGAGACAAAAAGAATTTATTAAAAATTAGCTAAATCTAATGCAGTACATGAGTCACCTTTGAAGTAAAATATTTTATAAAGTCTAGAAAATATTTCAAATGACAAAAAGTAAAAGAAAATTTGTTTTCAGTATATCAGATAAAAAAGAAAGAACCCCCCCACCAAACTACTCTCAAGGTGAATTGTGAAGGAAAACAATAGGAGTTTCTATAATCTTTCCAAAGAGTCAGCTTTTATTATTAGAAGGCAAGGTGAAAATAGAATTAAAGGGAAATCATGTAAGTTGACTTTAAAAATTGAATGTTCAAGTAAACATGGTCTGATAAAATACTTCCTAATGTATATAAAGAGTTTGAATTGCTTTGGAAACCATTCGGCTCCTAAGCCTTAGCCAGTTTGGAATAGAGTAATTCAGAAAACCACAAACAACTTGGTTTAGTTTTTAATGCTGGGAAAGATAATAAACCATAATGGGAATTGAGCGATAGGATTTTTCAAGTTCAAAGGCCTTTTATATCATGATAGAAACAGATGTCCTAGAATTTGAAGTTAACCCACGAAATCAGTGATTAGACGTTAAGACCAAAGGCATGTGGACAGACTCCATTTCTACATAAACTTTATTGTTTGACTGTCTTGCCAATTTAAGTGTGCGTGGTATTGGAGGAAAAAATTGTTTTAATGAATACACATGGCAGAGGTTTTTTAAATGAAGATACCTAGTGCTGGTGGGGCATAATAAAATGGGCAGTCTTACTCCTATTTAAAAAAACAAATTTAACTGAGTAAATTTGAAGACCTAAAGATGGCTTTATTCAGCCACTGTGCCTCAGGCAGCTTCCCATCCAGCAAGTGGGAGGGAACTGGGAGGAGATGCCTGGAACAGAAGGACCTTACAGGCCGAAGGGGTAGGACAGGGGGTTCTTAGCAAGAGAAAATAAAGGGTTGTTTTGGGCAGAGTCGCCTTCCTTTAGGGGGAATCACCACTCTAGTGCTAATCAGGAAATTCCAGATTGACTGGTTTAAAATTCTACTCCTGGGAGAGATGAGACTGCAGTTAGGTATTAAGTCTGGATGGTGGGGTTTTTAGCAAAAGTGTCTCCGTTTTGGGCCTGCTGTCTCTTTTTAACCCTGTGTGCTATGGGTGAGAATGAATGCTGCTTAAACTACTGCACCTCAGATCTGGAGAGCTTGTTAGAGATGCAGATTCTGAATCAGTCTGAGGTGGGGCCTGGGAACCTACATTAGGAGGGCCTCCCTGGTGCAGGCTCTGAGGTGCCCAGAGGCTGCCCTGAGGGTGCACAAGTATAAGGCTCTGAAATGGGCTTAGCCTTTGGCCCGACATTCCCTGGGACTTACCCTGTGGTAGCAGTCGGAGCAGCCACACATAGCTAAGAGCTCACTGGGTGTCAGGCCTGGTGCTAAGCCCTTACCTTTTCTCATACGATCCTCATGAGGGCTCTCTAAGGTGGGTGTAATTATAATCCTCTTTTTTCCGGGGGACCTAAGGCTTTCAGAAAGGCTGCCAAGCAGCCCAAGGTCTGGCAGCTGGGTGATGACTGCGTCAGGGTGTGGAGGGTCTCTGCCTCTTCCTGCTGGGCAGCACTGTGTCCTACGACGTGGACTGGGTTTACCTGCAAGGACCACGTCTCATGGCCATTGTGAAACAAGCCACGGTGTAGTAACGGCAGGCAGAGGCAGCCACCACAAACACCAAGTTTAAGGGGCATCTGATAAGGAAAATGTGTACGAAACTATATTTAGTGCAAAATTTAGGACAGTTTATTAGAAGGACCCCAAGTTTATAAAAACAAACCAAAAACCTCTCTGCATTTATATTATGTATATTTAAAATGCCAAAGGAAAATTATCAAAGGTTTGACAGTGGTTTTTATCACTGAATGGCTTTGAGTGATTGCAGTTTTCTTCTTTATACTTTTCTATGTTCTGTAACTCTTACACCATGAATATATATTACCAACTTCTTGACCTTTTTATCTGAAATGCATCATATATAAGAATGAATATATGTGGTGAAAATATGTAGTCTATTTAGAATAATAAAACGAATACCCATCTATTCAGCCCTCAGCCTAAGGAACAGACATCACTAAGACTCCTGCGGTGGTCTGTGCCTTCCCTCCTGCCCACATCCCTCCCAAGGGGAGCCTTACTCTGAATTTGTATTATGATTCCACATTTTTCATTACTGTTTTACTACATATGCACATATCTCTAAATAAACTATTGTTCAGGTCATACCAATATAAATGCTTGCATGCAGTGTGCAACAATTCCTTTTTTTCCCCACACATTTACCCATTGGAACATTGGCTATGTGTTCCTTTCAATCAGAAAAAACAGTGGCTTAGGCACATGCCATGATGTGGGAAAACCAGTGTTGGAGCTTTTGTATCAAGGGTGGAAGCTGTGTCAGTGTCGCTGGGGCTGTGTGACTGTCCGTCCTTGCAGGTACGTCAACAGCAGCCTCATCAAGTACATGGAGAAGCACAAGGTGAAGCCTGACAGCAAAGTGTTCCTCCTGGTAGGTGCACAAAAGCTGGGTCTGGAGAGCCACACCCCACCCCACCCCACCCCGTGGAAGTGTCCCTGCTATTTCTCCTCTTTAAAAAGAAAAGAAATTGGTGGCTGCTGGGGCAAATTAATATTTTTCTTCTCAGATGTCACCTTTGACTTCTAGTCTTATTTTCTCCCCATGGGTTATTGGCAGAAAAAAAATTAATTTTAAAAGAGCTTTAATGGTAATGATTCCTGCCAGTTTCACATGTGTGGTGTACAAATGGCATTTGATGTTAATCCTGGTACACTTCAATGCAAAAGTCAAAACTGACTTGTAAGCAACCTTTCCACGTGCTGCCAATTTCCTGTTGCTGTAGCTTCAGAAACTCCTTACCATGGATCCGACCAAGAGAATCACATCAGAGCAGGCTCTGCAGGACCCCTACTTTCAGGAGGACCCCCTGCCGACGCTGGAGTACGTAGCCTGCCTTTCCTGGGTCCTCTGCTCCAGGTCGAGGGTGGGGGTGCGGGAAGCACTTGTTGCTGGAGGATTTTGCTCTCTTCATTCTACTGCCCCAGAGATAAACTGCTCAAGAGAGAAGGCCTGTGTTTCAAACCAGGCAAAGCTGTAGAGAGATGTGAATAAAAAATTTTAGGAATGACCATTCATGAGTTTTACAGATAAAGATGAAATCTAGAACAGAGGGCACTTCTGCAGGTAGATAAGGCATCCAGACCAGTTTAAACCAAACCACTAGGAAACAGAGGTTAAAATTCTGCGTGTCCACTGCACTGTGGAAGCCCTCTACTTCCCCACCTGTTACACTTCTGTGCATGAGCTCTGCCTGAATTTAGTAGAGACACAGATTTTCTTGAGAAAAAAAATGTATTTTCATTGTTGGAGCAACACAAGTTCAGTTATTTTCAGTGCTGATGAAGTCGTGTGGAGACTTCCCTGTTGCATGTCAGCCGGCCGACAGCAGCCGAGATTCATTGAAAGTGGGGGGAGTGTCAAACTTGGCCAATTGTTCGTATCGCTCAAATCAAGTTGTATGGGGGCCACAGATGAAGAGTAGGAAGTAGATTGTAAAAAAGCAGAATTTTACACCAACAAGGCAGTGATATTGTGGATTTTAGACCATGACGTGTATTTTTGAAATGATTTTTAGTGTGTTTGCTGGCTGCCAGATCCCATACCCCAAACGAGAATTCCTGAATGAAGACGAACCCGAGGAGAAGGGTGACAAGGTAGGGCGTGCCCGGCGCTCCTGCACTGCCAGGGGCGTGCCGGGGGCCGAGGGGCTGTGCGCGGGCCCCCTGTGCGCGACAGCCTTTTATGATGTGTTACTGAACGTGCGCCTCGCCGTTTGAGTCTGTAAGTTTACGGGTAAACGGGCCCCTGTCCTGCCCTACGGTCCCTTCGCCTCGATCCTGAATGCCTGCTTTCTGCCTCTTCCGTGTGTTGCCACCACTTGACACTTTGGAAGCATCCTTTGTTCACTGCAGTAGGGTTGGGCAGGCCCGCCACGCCCGCCCTTGTCCCGGGCCTGGCCGAAAAGCCCGAGGGGGCCGTGGTGCTGGCGAGGAGCCCACACCGTCTGTGGTGGGTTTGGGGGTCGTGCAGGCCCAGCGAGCTGGGGGAGCCCCGGCCGGCTGCCCCTGGCCCCCCAGGTGTTCCCCCGCCACCGTGTCCTTGCGGGCGGCGGTGGCCCCGGACCCCTGGTGCCTCCCGACCCCTCTTTGGCCCCGAGGCCCTGCGGGCACCGCGCTGAGCCGCTCTTTTCCTTTGCAAGAACCCGCCGCCGCCGCCGAACCAGCACCAGCCGCCCGCAGGTGCGCCTGGCCCACCGGTCCCCACGCAGAGCAGCGCGCAGACTAACGGAGCGGGGGCGCTGCCCAGTCAGGACTCTGGCCTGGGCCCCGGGCCCCCCAAGAAGCCGCGGCTCGGGCCGTCGGGGGCGAGCTCAGGCGGACCCGCCGCGCCGCCCGACTACCAGGTACCGGCCGTCCGCGCAGCGCGGGGGCGGAGGACGGGTGCTGGGAATCCCTGCAAGCCGACCGGCCGAGGGCCACGCTCGTGGGGTCCAGCAGGCGGCCCGCTCCCCTCCAGGCCCCTGAAGCCCCCTGCAGCCGGGAGTGGGCGCGGGCGTCTGCGCCTCCGACCGGGCCGTGCTGACCTGGGTGCGGGCAGGTGCGGAGCCGGGGCGCCCGCCTGCTGCCCCCCGTGTCCCGCGCGCGTCCGTCACCGGCCCTGGTGGAGCTGCCGGGCCGGGTCTCGTCTGTGAAAGCCGAGGACCCGCACCCAGCGCGGCACTGCAGGGCTTTTGAGCGGAAAGAATGCTTTTCCATGCTAAGCTTAAAAAGAAAACGTAGTTGGAATTTCAGATTTTGAAAGGGTTCTTGGCCAGCGCAGCTCGTCGGGTCCGTGACCCAGGAAGCCGCCAAAGGCCGTCGTTCTCACCGCGCGGTCCGACCACCTTGTCCCCGGGCGGGCGTCACGGCCCATCTGCGGCCTTCGCCCAGAGCGGGGGCTCTGCTGACTTGTCCCCGTGGCCCCTGGTGCCTCCTCCAGGTCGTGTGCACCTTCAACCCAGAGCAATGGTTCTGGTGTGTGTGATGCCTCCCGCGCCCCCCGGGAGGACCAGCCTTCTGAGCGCAGCCCGAGGCGCCGGCCCCCAGTCCTGACCCCGGATAAACTTTCCTTCTCTGCGCTGTGTCATGCTTGCCCCGGGTGCTCCCGGCGGATCGCCTCGTGTAAGGCGATGCACAAACACGGAATTGGGTCACGTTTGTCTCTGCCTCCTCGTAGGGCATCTTCACGTGTGACAGTGCGCGGATGCCCCGGAGCTCATGGAGCCCGCTGCCCCTCTGCCCCTGCCCCTCTGCCCCTCTGTCCTGCAGCCCTTCTGCTCCTCTGCGCCTGCCCCGCTGCCCTGCCTTGTCAGCGTGCTGCCCTCCCACCGTAGCCTCCGCCCCTGAGAACTCTGCTCTACGGACTCTGTGATCACACCTTTGCTGTTTGTAATGAGATTCGCAGCACGTCAGTTCCATTACGCATGCCAGGGATGAGTATGCGAGATCGCTCATTCCTGTTGGCAAATCTGTGCCGAGCAGCGGGTCCCAGCAGTCTGCCCTCCGCCTTCCCCGGCCAGTGCAGCCTGTGCCCCAAGGAAGTCCAGCCAGATGCGGTTGTGGCGGTGGGTGGCAGGCTGAGGTTTGAAATAAGCGAGATGCGTGAACAGACTAGTTAGCGGTCAGCCAGGGGGCTTCTGAGCCGGAGCCTCCGGTGGAGACAGCCTGGGACCGTCCCGTCGTGAGGGGCCCCACGCCGCCCCCTTGCCCCAGTAACCGCCCTGCCGGTTTCCTTCCAGCACTCCGGTTCTCGCCTGAGCTACCAAGGCAGCGCCCAGGGGTCGTCCCAGTCGCAGAGCACCCTAGGCTACTCCTCGTCTCAGCAGGGCGCGCAGTACCACCCCGCCCACCAGGCCCACCGGTACTGAGCCGCCCCGCCCGGAGCTCCCGCTCCAGCCGCGTGACGTCTGCTCTGAACAGAACAGGAACGCAGGCCGGGAGGCCGTGCCAAGCGCCCGCGCCCAGGAGGCGCACTGGACGCCGCCCTCCCTTACCTACTTGGGGGAGAGTTTCGCGATGCTTCCCGGGACCCTCCTCTGCGTGTGTTCCGCCGTGACCTCTCTGACGAAGCGTCTGATCTAATCCCAGCACTTCCGTGACCTTCAGCATCTTTTGGAAGAGTTTCCTGGTGCACCTTTCTCATGCTGTAGCAATCACTCTGATACGTCTTTTCAAAGCTCTTTTAATAGGATTTTAATGTTTTAGAAACAGGGCTCCAGTGGTATATAGTTTTATATGTCAAGAACCAATTGAGCAACATAGGTAAAAACACCTTTTCAAGCACTATGTTCCTTTCGGAAACAGTTACTGCTTTGCTCGCGGAAGTCTTAACGAGGAGCTGTCGCCGTCCCAAAGTACGTTGGCTGTTAGGTTTCTGTTTACCTAGTTTCAGGGAAGGCCTAATGAAAAGACACATGGCGGGGCAGAGGGGCCTCCACGCCAGACAGCCCAGATCTTTGCAGTTACTCTGCTTGGTGCTATGAAGACCTGAAGCATGTGCTGGTTTTATCTAGTCGTCCATGGGGAGCTCAGTTCCCAGCATCATCTTATTCTGAAGAGTATCAGCAGCTAAAGATAATTTTAACCTTCGTGTAGCGACATCTACCTTAAAAAGGGTTTGAGCGCTTTGGCGACAGAGGCCCCTGGTGGCCACAGAAGGCTGACGTGGCCACTTACCTGCGCCAGGACTTTGTAGGAGTGATGTGGTCAAAGGAGGTGCTGCTTCCCTTTGAAGGAAGAGCTTTTCGTGTGTGTCGTACATAACGATGGCTTCTCTAAAGAGCTCTTGGTTTCTTCACATCTGGGTTAGCTTGAGTAACTCCTTACGTAATCAAGATACTCAAATAGAAGCCTGCAAATTAATCTGCTTTTAATCAAGAGCAGTGTTCTCCATTCATATTTGCATTAGACATAGAGACTATTTTTAAAGCATGTTAAAAATGTAGATTTTAATCCTGTGTAAAGTATGTATTATGTATGCATAATTTTGCCGTTACTGAAATTTAATTCTATCAAGAATCTTTTCATTGCACTGAATGCTTGCTTTTGCCCTTAGGAGAAAATGTAATAATTGTGCCTAAAAAGCTGTGGGCGGATAGTATAAAACTGTACTAGAAAAAGTGCGATTTGCGTTTCCGTGATCTGTGAATTAGAGGCTGAGTTCTTAGCCAGGGCAAGGAACCCCTCACTCCCCAGAGTCACAAGGAAATGTAAAGACTGTGCTCCCACTGGACCAGAAGGGGCAACAATTGGTGTTCTTGGAATGCTACTAGCAGCACCAGCCTTGTTTTAAACGTTTTCTTGAGCTAGAAGAAATAGTTGACTATTGTATATGCAAGTTATATGCATTTTTTTAACTCTTCGTTGTGAACTTATCTACCTGGTTATGATACTCTGGGTCCATACACAAGTAAAATAAGATTTTCAGACAGAAGCCAGTATACACTTTGCACTATTGATGTAATACTATAGCCAGCAAGGACCTTACTTTTCTCAGCATAATAATGCTATTGATGATAAAGACCCTCTGCTGACACTCACCACCACTGGATGTGAGACAGTGGATGTGCCCTGTTGGGAGGCATTTCTGATTGTCTCCATGGTAATTTGCCCCTTCTATTTCTTAAAATGAGAAATGAAAAGCCCTCTGCATACGGAGCTCCCTGTGTGTGAAGTTCCCCCTGTGCTCTGAAGCCTCCCTGCCCAGGTTCCTGGTCCCCAGCTGCTCCCTGTGCCCCCTCCAGGTGCCCAGGGCATGTGAGTGGAAGGCATGTGAATGCAGACGCACGTCTGTCCTTTGGAGCCTGTGATCGAGGCCGAGGTGGGAGGCTCTCCCGGGACGGTTGGCCTACAAGTGAAACAGTCCTAGAATGCGAAGTTCCTTTTGTTCACTTCTAAACCCACTTGTGTAGAGTCACTGTTCCAGCTTCTCTCTACTAAACCGTGTTACGGAGAGGTTTCTGTTTATCTACCTTTGAGAAAGCCAGCAGTTAGGTATCAGGACAGGCATTCATGTGTATTTGGAACACCCACGGCAGCCCTTCAACAGCTGGTGGCCCCGGTGGGCAGACCACACTCTTCCAGGTTGGTCGTAGGAAATTCTAACGGACATAGAGGCTCTGTTCCTGCCCTCTTGGGGGGCTTACATTTGATAAAAAAACCCAAGCCCGTGCAGGAGCCGAAATGCCGTGGCTCATGCCTGACACTCCCAAGCGGCTCTGCTCGCAGAGCTGCAGCGCCAGGTTCTGCCACGGGACCCCTGCCTCCCTCCTGCACGGTGGGCTGTGGGCCCGTGACAGGAGCTGCTGGGGGCTTTGTCAGCTGCCCCTGGGTCCCGTGCTCGCGGCAGAGCCAGCATCCCATCCCCGCTGCACCCCGGGTGGGTTTCTGGTTGCTGGTGGGTCCCGGCCCTTCTCTCCTGAGTTCTTGCCTCGGACTTGGTGGTGCCCATTACCCTTTGGAATAATTTTGGTTCATTATTTCCTTTTCTCTGTGAAGGGGAACAAAACCTTTAACACCTTACGGGCCCTAAACTGCAGGACCTCAAAGAAGACCTGTAAAGCCTGGTCATGTTAAAATGTACCTTTGTGGTCCCCAAAAGACATTTCTCTTTGAGAGTTTATTACTGTCACATCTCCTGAGAACAGAGGGGGGCATCCTGTAGTCTGTGGGACCCCGAACCAGGGGAGGCCATCGAAGGAAAGAAGGTGTCAGGGTGAAGGGTTTCTGCTCTACCCACCACAGATCATTTTTCGAGTGAGCTTGCTGGTGAGGTGTGTGTGTGGTCCAAGGGCAGCGGAGCCCGAGGGAGGGCAGCCAGGTGGCGGGGCTGACGCCGTGGGGCAGACACAGTCCTTGTGGTGAAGCATGTCATGTGGGAACACACGTGCAAAGCCAAGGACCTGTAGGTTTAAACCCATATGATTTTAAAACTTTAGTACTTAGACTTTTGGCCTTCTGCACTAGTTTTTTGCTCTTATAAATGTAATTGACATTTAGGAATAGAGGGGTGATGTTTACCTGTGTGTGTTCACTGGCTTGTGTCCCTGGTGAAGCAACTTAGCTGTATGCCTTGAAAATGTGCCGTTTTCTCTGCTAAATGTAAAAGAAATAGTTGGGCAATAAGTACTGCAGCTCAGTCTGCTCTGAGTACATTTATGTAGCAGAAACTATACAATGAAGGAAGAATTCTGTGAACGTTGCAAATCCTAAACTCAATGATGTTACCTTCCTAGGGGATGGAGGAAGGCAGTGAAATGACAGACTATAGGAGGCTTGAAGGATTCAAGTATAACAAGTATTTTATATAAAACAAAGCAGTTTAGGTCCCCAGGATCTTCCATAGTCACAATTATAAAGCAAAGTTCGTTGTTTTAGGATTTTAAAAAACTGTGTTGTACCTAATGCCATACTTATCTTCTATGCTATCACTGCAAAGGGGTGATGTGTATTATATGAAAAAAATCCTAATGCACTGTTATCTCCTAAATATTTAGTAAATTAATACTATTTAATTTTTTTAAAGATCTGTCTGTGTAGACACTAAAAGTATTACACAAAATCTGGACAGAAGATGTCCTTTTTAACAACAATTTAAAGTACTTTTTATATATGCCATGTAGTTTATCCTTTCTAAGCGGCCTAGTTTGTAGATCCCATAACTCCTGTTGTGATGTGTGCCCGTGGCTGTCTCCCTCTCCCGTCGCT